AGAGAGAGAGAGAGGGAATTACCTCGAAAAATTTCCTCTCAGCCGTCTCCCTTCTTTTTTGATACTGGTACGTTTGTTTTTTGGGACGGTCATGGAAAATCCCCTCATTACCGAGGGCTGTTTTCATTACAAAAATATTACTTATACATCGGCTCAAAGCTCATTGTAGAAAGAAATAATAGCAAAAATTGAAGAGCCTGTTAGAGAGAGATCTTGTAAGGTAGAGATTAGGGTTTTTTGGAAAATCTTAGCTACAATTGAGCCCTATTTTGCACGTTTGTACTCGTAATTTCTAGTTTTGGCAGATCGATGGAATTTTAATTATATAGTTTCCTTGCCGGTTGCATGTGAATGGAGCCAGATTTTGGGTAAACCACGTATATTTGTGTTGATAGTGCTTGGATTGTAGTTTGTAGTATGTTGTTTTGATTCTAGTTTGGAAAGCATTTATATAAGATTGAGGCCTTAAATAATCAAACTAATGCACACCTTAAAACTTCACTAGAAGTAGTATTTCGATGCAAAAAAAACCCTCAAATTCAATCATCTCAACCTTGAGATACATGGACCTAAGAAAAAAAAAAAAATCTATTTTAAGTCTTGGAAATAATGCATCTTGTAATGCATTATCTAGACCAACAATTTTTAAGATTTTCAAATGTTCATAGTGTTCGCTCTATGGCCTTTCAACGCGTTAAAGCCAATAATCGTTCTCTTCGTGGGAGTAATAGAGAGAGAGATTGAATCTGGGTGCTAGGCGCACTAGGCCCCAGATTCATATATCACGAGTACATGAGGTAATGAGTGATTACATTTTGATAGAGTAAACCTTTATGGGGTATTACGATAATTGAGTTGATTTTGTAAAGTATTTAATTAAAATTTTCACATGCTTATATCTCTCACATGTGACCCGCTTTAGCATGTGTGATGCCAAGGATATTTTTTGAAATAATTTGAATTAAAAACGTTATCCATATGGGATATTTTGGCATGTGTGGATTCTTATGTGGCTTTGTCCCATAAGTTTATGCCATGTGAATTGGTTGTTGAAATTCCATTGCCATGTGAAGAATATTGGTTGTTTAAATTCCATTGGATGTGTCGTGTGATATTGTGTTTTCACACATGGGTTTTTCTAATTATTACAAATGACATGCCCTTGTACATATAGTACTCTAGTGATTTTATTAAAACCTAAAGTTTTTTATGGAATCTCTACAATGGACTTAAGTGAAATTTTTTAACGGGACAAGAGTGATAATGGTGTCAAATCTTATCCATTGATCTAGGTAGTTGAATGGGGATGAGTGGCTAGGATCATGGCCCCTCATGTGCAATAGATGAGCACCAATGTCTAAGATCACTTCACCTCTTACCACTTAATGAGTCTAGCTTTCAAAAAATAAAATCATAATATACTTAAACAAATGAAATCTTAATATATTTAATGAGTTTAGCTTTCAAAAAACCAGGTCTCATGATAAAATTCCATATATTTTGAAAGTTATAGTTATTTTATCAGAGATATGTCAACCTGTAGTTTCTGCTACATAATCTAGGAATTGCCCTCAACTTGAGAAACCGGAAAACTGTATATGACATCCTAGAGTAAGCTAGATCAATGTATCTTACACTTTGGTGCAATTCCATTGAGGCACATTGATTGATAAGTCTTTTGAGACATCATGAAATGTAATAGGTCAGTGAGAATAATGGGTAAAGCCCCACTGAATCTTGATCACAAGATATCCTATATTTGATCAAGTTCTGGGGTACACTTGAAAAGTGTTTGGGGGTATTCCCAAACAAGACTAAAGGTACATTAGGATGAATTGGGCCATGAGTACATTCATAATTAGAGACAAATGGGTGAAAGGACAACATGGATCGATGATGAAAGGGTTGACACATTGCAAGGTATGACTTCTTCATACGTTTATGCATGATTTAAATATATTAAGATTTCATTTTGTTTAAGGGCAACCATCTTGACTTTATGCTATCTTATGATTAATGATTAATAGAATAACTTGGCATATTATATGATTATTATGATTGGAAAGCAATGAGTACTCACATAATCTACAAACTTGAAAAATGCCGATACTTCCATTTTGTCATTCTAGGTTATTCATAGGATTTAGGGGAAGGTATCTTATATTTTGGAAACATTAAGACTGTAGCTTGTTTTAGAGTAGCTATTATTTTTAACAAAATATATCTTATTATTGGAATTTTGCCATTTCTAACTTCTCAATGCAATTATTTAATGAGGATTACTTCAAAACACATAGCAGGCCTAATTCATTGTTCAATATGTTGAAGCGACGGATGATGTATATATTTTGTTTGCCTTTATGGTTGGTCAAATGTACTACTCCTGAGGAAGGTGCACTTCCTGTGCAGGGCTAATGGGTGCTAAATGAAAATTATAGGTGTTCCCTTTCCACAAAAGGAGTGTGTCTCAAAAGAAATCCATGAACATTGAATGTGAGCATTGCCAAGTTGGAGTTACATCTGGCCATAGTTTTTCCTCTTGTTTTTGCACTTTTCTGGACTTTCTGGACTACATAGTTATATGCTTTGTTGCAGGTAGTTGAAGGTGTAAAGTCATCTGTCATGAGCTTACACAAGCCACAAACGAGTCAGAAAGTATCATGATGAAGGATCTAGTCAAGGATGTGGATAGACTTGTTTCATGCCTCGCAACAAAGGTTTATCGTCATATTCCAGGATATGTTCAGTTGGAGTTAGTTTTCCTTGTAAGCTTATTTGACTACTTTTGATAGGTACCCAAGACTTTTTACTTCAGTCTTGCTAGCGCATCTTCAAGGTCATGTAAATATGTCCTAAACACCCTTATGCTGGCATGTTTATTTGTACCACTTTTATGTGATTATGCTGGCCTGATATTGTGTTGCTTTGGGAAGAAAATTCAGTAAACCATATGATTTGTGCAGACATTTCAAATTAAAAGGCTAGCTCACGCTGTAATGGAAAGTATCCTCAACATCCTTATTACTGAGCTTCTTGTATGGCTTTTGGATGAAAGAGTTCCTTTAATGGATGATGGAAGCCAACTTTTGAAGGCTTTAAATGTTTTGATGCTAAAGATTCTGGTAAGTTTTTCTTGAAGTCGATTGCTTGCGTTTTCATTGTCCTTATCCTGATTAGTTTCTTACATTATTTCAGGATAATGCTGAACGCACTTTATCCTTAGTCATGCTGATCAATCTCTTGCGGCCTTTAGATCCCTCAAAATGGCCATTGCTTGTATCTGGTGAGACATTTTCAACCCGGAGTCCAAAGTTCTGTGATCTTCTTGTCAAATGTCTCATAAAATTGACAAACGTAATCGGATGCCAACATAATTATTACACTTTGTCCCTTGGTATGTTTGTGCACACTGCTAACGTAATATTAGTTTCTTCAGGTTCTCCACAGTACAATATTTGAGGTGGATCTTGATCGTATTCTTCAAATTATACATCAATATTTACAAGAACTAGGAATGGAGGAAATACGAAAAAGGCTTATTATCAGGCCAATAGTTTTCCACTTCTTACATTATTAATTAGGACATTGAACCTGACCAATTGATAATTGTCAGAGCTGGGGCTGATGACAAGCCACTGCGTATGGTTAAAACTGTTCGACATGAGCTTGTTAAGCTTCGGGAAACTGCAATAAAGGGTCACCTCTCCATGGTTCCTATAGACTTGGAGCGTCAGCCAATTATACTGGCATATATCGACCTTAATCTCCAGGTAAAGATTTTGCATATATTAATGAACTTTATTGCCGCCACCATCCATATCTTGCCTCTTCGGCTATAATATTATGATGTGAATTCAGGATCTTTCTGCCGATTTTCTTTTCTTTGTACAGACTCTTACAGCTGCTAGAATGCTGACACCATCAGAGCCTATTGGCCAAACACACTAGGGTGACTCTGTTTACAATGGACCATCACCCCTACACATTCGGCATATGCACAATTGAAGGTGCCATTTCAACTTTGGAACTTATACTGGAAATAAAAGTCATTTGTTTCCTACATTCTTTATCCAGCATCTTTTTGTTCTTTTCATGAGTACAAGAAGAGCTTGCTGCGGTCTTCAAGAAAATCAGTGACAAGCAAAATGCACCATTGGTTTGTATGAGCTTTAACGGATCACACAGTTATACCCCAAGGTATATCATTTTGTACTTGCATCATGGCCTTAGTGACTGATTCAAGAGGAACAAAAAGAAGAATAAATGTATTTATCAGATGAGGGCTTTTGTCTTCTGTAATGGAACTTTGTTTCTTCTCTATGCATACGGGGGTGGGGGAAGGTGGCTTAAGGTTAGTTTAAATTGCACAGGACAAACCTTTAAGAATTGGTACCCCCTTGCTCTCTGCCGTGCAAACAAGGTATTGGTCCAGTAGAACAAAGGTTTGGGGACAATTTCAGTGGGCAGGGAGGCAGGGATATTATTGAGTATTGACATTTAACATTGGGTCTTTCAGGTTCATATATTTTCGCAACTACAGAATGAGTGAGGCATTTCGGACATATAATAGATGGATTAGCATAGGTTGGTTGGTACCCATCTAAATAATTTGTTTTGGGCAAGCTTTCTATACTTCTCCTACATCATAGAAGTTCTATCCTCCCCCTTATCCAACCGTCTATTTTGAATGGAGGGTTAGGATTGCCTCAATCACAATGTTACGTCTCTACACTATTTTATTTTTAATTTTTTTCTATAAACTATTTTGACACCAAATTTTAGACGTCAATTCTTCTATTAAACTCGCACTAGCGAAATTTATAAAAAAAAATATTTTCAATAAAATAAAATGACCAAAATACCTTTGAAAGTTTCAAGGGGTATTTTGGTCATTATATTTTATCGAAAAATTATTTTTAATATTTTTTATAGGTGCGTCCCAATGAGAAGATAGCACATACCAAATTACATATTCATATAATTTGTATAAAAAAAACTAAAAATAAAATACTTTGAGACATCAGATCTAAGATCTAATGGTGAGTGGTTTTCTTGATCACAATTGGACTGCTGGATGGTAAGGGGAGGATAGAACTTCTACGCTGTAGAGGAGACATAGAAACCTTTCCCATTTGTTTTTGTGTAATGCCTATTATAATAAACAAAGTGTTGGCTTATGAACTACTTGTATTGTTATGATTGCAATGGAATGCCATGCAAATGGAAGAGAAATACAGCAGTTGGAAGGACACCTTAGAGCGTGCCAATGTCGACTCATCCTGTTGCCATAAATCTCTCCTCACCAATTCTTGCACCTATGTCCCCTGTAGCAGCAGGACAATGTGATGAAGCCTCCTGAACTTACAACCAACTCTTTGGTTGTTGAAGTTGATGATGCCGCTACCATGTTCAGTCGTGATGTCTCATAAAAAAGGCCGATGAACAGATTATCTGAATTGAGTAAGCAGCGTCCTGTTCCGAAAGTGGACCATGATGAGAAATATGCATTTGCAGGTAAAGGGATCATGACACGTCCCTCCCCTTCCGGGAGATTGAAAACTATGTAATTTGTTGTGCTTTTAGATTGGGCTTCCCTCTCGCTTTTGAATTGGTGGACAACTGCATGCACTAGTGGGACATTGGATGCTATCCGAGAGAGAATGAAGAGCATGCAGGCAACTGCATCTTCTAGGAATATAGACGGGGGTGGGGGTGGCAATGTGGAAGTTGTGATGATGCCAACAAATGTTCTTCCTCTGGATGAGAAGGCATTGTCGGGTCTCCAGGCTCGCATGGAAAGGCTAAAAGGCAGTGCAGGTGGTGCCCATGTGGATGGGAGTGAGCTTCTTCCTTGTTTCAAATTTGAGTGTTGGAGAGAGAGAGAGAGAAGAAAAAAATGATTGAGTTTGTAAAAGTTAAAATCTTGAAATTCACCAAATGAATAGTCTAGATTCATTGTTAGAGGGGACTCATTTTGACTATATCTAAAGTTCAAATTGAACTTTTTTCTTTTTTGGGAATGATTATTGAGATGAAGAGAGTGTGAGTGCAAAATTTTGAGCCATACAAATACCACAAGCATGGTGGTTTCATTATATTATGATACAACTGTTGCATTAG